CCCAAGTCTGAAGTGAATCTTGGCCATCGACTGAGAATATGCCTTGCGTAGGGGTCTGAGTTTAGTTGGTTTTTATGAAAACCAGGACAGTTGTGACGTTGATATGCTGTGTAACCCCATCCTAACCTTTACAGAGACAGACCAATCAGAGAACGGAGATGGATAGAGTGAAGGAACGACTGGAGAACGCTTGTACCTCCCGTGGATTTTTTGCCGCTGATTAAAAACAGTCACATCTCATCTAATACTGCTGAACAATATTGGATGCCAGATGCCTTTGATGCAAGAATGGAAGACATTCATACTCTCAAGTCTTCAGTTAAACTGTATTTAAACAGTTGCCATTACAATCATATTACAGTGAATTTGATGTATGCAATTTTGAAACTTTAATTTTGAGCAATCAATGCTTAGGGAATCCAATTAATTATATGGATAAATAAAAATTCCCTTTTCATATATTGCCGCCTTTTGCATCCTTAAAGAGACTTTAGAGAATTTATGTTATACAATGTTTAAGAATGCCTCAATTTTTGGTTATGAAACCTTTCTTGGTTTATCGTGGTTAGGTTTTAGAACCAGGAAAGACCCTCTAGAACAGAGGAGGGGTCATAGATCGGCGTATTAGATATAATTCTACTCTTCTGGAGATTTTTTTACTGAATCTGACCTCTCATAATGGGCAACAGGGATAGGCTTTCATAAAGAGTTTTGGTTGCCTTGATTTTGCCAAGTAAGACATGTTCCTGGATCAACATCTTTTGTTGATCCTGGATCAACATTACTGTCCAAAAATATAGACTAAACCCAATCCCTACCCCTAAACCTAACCTTACCCATAATTTATTCCTAAAATCAGTGTGAAATGATAGCTGATTAACAAGGGTGTAGAAGCACCTAACCCTGATCATAAGTCTAAAACAGATATTTCCTGATAAGTTATCCCTCAATTCTGATTGGTTAATTGGAATGTTGTTCCAGGATCAACAAGGATCTTGATCCGGGAACATGTTGTACTAGGTGAAATCACGGTCACAAAGAGTTTTATAAGCAGATTGAGGCATGAACCGGTCTTATAGGGATCAGCTGTCCATGTGCTGCTGAGTACTGTTTGTCCTTGTCTGTGATTCTCCAACTGTCAGAGATTGGACCACTGTGTGATTTCCTAACTAAACACAGGCGTCTTCTGATGTCTATGCTGTGTGTGAGTTTTCTGACTGCACAACAATCACAAACATCTTAGGAATAAATGAGTTTTTCTGTATGATTTCTCACGAGACTCTGTAATGAAGATGTGCTGTGGTGGCTGTGAATTGAGTGAAGTGACCACCCACGGTCTGCTGGCTTTATCGAACTCGTTTCTCGTGGTATTTCCTTTGGTAATAAAGATGGGAGCAAAAGAGAACTAGAGAAAGAGTGGTGTGGAATGATAAAGCGCTGGATATCTGGTTTGCATTTATTTATTCCTTTATCATTTCACCCTGGAGCTGCTGCAAGAGGGAATTTCCTGTCGCTGTTTCTCCCATGTGTGAGATGGATGGCCATAGACCCCCCACACCTCCCCACCTCCCCCGACATAATGCAGTGTAACCAGTCACACATACAAAGCAACATACTGACAGCATCAACAAATAATGACAACCAGACACAGCCTCAGTAAAGACACAAGGCCACAGAACTAATCTGAAAGTATTTCAGTTAGCTACTATATACGTTTGGATGGATGGATGGACAGACAAATAGATGAAAGTGTAGATAGATAGATAGATAGATGAATGTACGGATGGATGGAATGGACAAATCGATGAATGGATAGATAGATAGATAGATAGATAGATAGATGATGGACAGACGAATAGATGAATGTACGGATGGATGGATGGACGGACAGATAGATGGATGGGTGGATGGATGATGGACGGACCAACAGATGAATATACGGGTGGATTTATAGATGAAGGTACAGACAAGTAGATGAATGTATAGATAGATAGACTAATGGATAGATGAATATATGGGTGGGTGTTTAGATGGGTAAATACTAGGTGACAGACACAACAAGCGATATCGATGTTATGGAATATGGAATTATGTGAATATATAGTGCACGTTCTTAGGTAAATCAAAAGAGAAAGAAAAGGGGAAGAAAAACAGCTGGAAACATCTGCTTCTGGGCTCCTTGTCCAGCTTCCATTTTTTGATGTGGGATAAAGAGAAAAAGAGAAAGGGAAAGAAAAAACAAGGAGCCAGCTATCCAGAACATCAAAGCCATTGCCTAAATGTGCAAGCCCTCATTAGTTCTGCAAGCCTAACCAACCCGACTTATGATTGTGTTTGCTGGGGTGCACTTTGGCAAACACTTCAGAGGAGAGGCTCCTTTAAATTATAACTCCCACCTCACCCCCACCCCCACCCCCTGGCCCAG